TGTTTGCTGCTCTTTTGAATTTTGCTATTGTTACTGGAATGAGATGATATCTCATAGTAGTTTTGATGCATCTCTCTTAGAGCTCGGGTTTTTGAACATTTCTTTATGTGTTTGCTCTCCAGTAAATGTCTTCTTTGGTGAAGTGTCTGTTCATGTTCTGTGCCCATTTTTCAGCTGGGTTGTTTACCTTTGTCTTGTTGTGGTGCTCGAGTGTTCTATAAACTCTATATATAAGTCCCTATTGAGACATGTCATTACCAAATATTTTTTTCCCAGTCTGTGGCTTCCCTTTTTATCCTGTTGGAGAAGTTTTTGAATGTGCGTAGGGATTTGATTCTTAGAAGGTCCTATTCATCTATTTTATACTCTCCTGGCTGTAGGGTTTTCAGGATGCTTGGAAGACTGTTTATGTTGTGAATTAGGCTTCTAGAGTTTTTCCAAACTTTTCTCTAATGAAATTTATAGTCCTTGGTTTTAGTCCTAGGTCTTTAATCCACTTTGAGTTGGTTTTTGTATATGTTTCAGGTGAGGGTCTTGCTTGAGTTTTCTGCAGATGGTTTTCCAATTTTGCCAGCACCATTTGTTAAAAAAGCTGTTATTTCCCCACTTAACTGATCTCATCCCCTTGTCAAAAATTAGTTGACCATAGGTAGATGGGCTGATTTCTGGGTACTCAATTCTATTTCATTGATCTGTGTGTCTGTCATTATACCAGTACCATGCTGTCTTGACCACCAAGGCAGTGTAGTAGATTTGAAATCAGGGAGTGAGATGCCTCCTACCTTGTTTCTTTTTAAGGAGTGCTTTGCTTATTGGGGGCCTCTTTCCATTCCAAATGAAATTAGAGATTGCCTTTTCCATCTCATTGAAAAATGGAATTGGTATTTGTATTGGGATTGCATTGAACATGTAGATTGCCTTTGGTAGGATTGTCATTTTCACAATTTTATGTATAAAGTGTTGATCTTGTTTCTTGCCATGTAGAGGTCTTGGCTAGGCCATGCAAGGAAGATGACTTAGTCCAACTTGATAAAGCCAATATCCTTGGTGTACAGACAGAAACACTGGCACATATTCAGTCCATATTTCTGGATCAGTCTGTGTAGCTTTGAGCACACACGGCAAGAGCAGGAACCCTGGCCAAATTTCCTGGGTGACTCCATAGAGCTGCTGGTGACTCATCTTGCTTGGAGGGAAGCACCAAGGTAAAAAGCCATTTTTATAATAGCTGTCCAGCCACCTGATTGGAAGAGATCCATACTCATTCACATTCTCAAGAAAGGTGATCCAACAGAATGTGGAAATTATTGAACAATAACACATGCAATAGCACAATAGCACATGCAAGTAAAATATTGCTGAAGGTCATTTAAAAATGGGTAGAACAGTTTCTCCACAACCTCGCCAGTATTTGTTGCTTGCTGTTCTGTTAAATTTTGCTATTTTGACTGGGGTGAGATGATATCTCATAGTTGTTTTAATTTGCATCTCTCTTAGGGCTAGGGATTTTGAGCATTTCTTCATGTGCTTGTTAGCCATCTGAATGTCGTCTTCAATGAAGTGCCTGTTCATATCCTGTGCCCATTTTTCTATTGGATTATTTCCCTTTATCTTGTTGTGGTGCTCAAGTATTTCATAAATTCTGGATATAAGTCCCTTATCTGATATGATATTACTAAATACTTTTTCCCAGTCGGTGGCTTTCCTTTTTACCCTGTTGGAGAAGTTTTTGAATGTGCGTAGGGATTTGAGTCTTAGAAGAGCCCATTCATCTACTTATCTTCTCCGGTTGTAGGTTTTTCAGGAAACTTGGATGATTGTTTATGTTGTGGATTAGGACTTCCAGTATTGTTCCTAGCTTTTCTGTAATGAAGTTTATAGTCCTTGGGTTTAGTCCTAGGTCCATGATCCACCTTCAGTTGGTTTTTGTGTATGGAGTGACGTGTGGGTCTTTCTTGAGTTTTTAGCAGATACTTTTCCAATTTTGCCAACGCCATTTGTTAAAAAGGCTGTTGTTTCCCCACTTGACTTATTTCATCTCCTTGTCAAAAATCAGTTGACCATAGATAGATGGGCTGATCTCCGGATTCTCAATTCTGTTCCATTTATCTATGTGTCTGTCATTGTACCCACATGGTCCAATTCCTTTGCATAGTCAATAACACACAAATAGACATTCTTCTGATATTCTCTGATTTCACCCGAACTCATCTGACATTAGCAATGATATCCTTGGAGCCTCTTCTAAAGCCAGCTTAAACTTCAGGTAGTTCTGTCTCAATGTACTGTTCTACCCATTTGAAAAAAACAAACAAACAAAAAAAACAACTCTGGAGAACATTATGCTGAGTGAAATACCCCAGTCACAAAAGGACAAATATTGCATGGTGCCACTGTTGTAAAAGAGGACTGACCTTGGGGTTGGGGAGAGACTGAGTAAGATGGGTTGAATAATGTATACTGCACTGAAACAGAGGAAGGAGAAAATTGTTTAAAAGAGAAATGTGTTTAGGTATTTCTGTCATGACAGGAGTCTAGAGCGGTGGCTACATGGTGGAGTGGACCTGGGAGAGGGTTTGTAAAACAATGAAAGAATTTTTCTTTTACTTTTCCAAGAGGGTAGTGTTCTGGGGGGTGGGAGGAGAGGCTTGGGAGGGGAGAAATGTGCAACAATGAATGAATGGAAATGCAAAGCCTCTGTAAATTTTTACTGAAATTAATAATAAATTTAATTTTTTTTAAATGGGTAGAACAGTACATTGAGACAGAACTACCTGAAGTTTAAGCTGGCTTTAGAAGAGGATCCAAGGATATCATTGCTAATGTCAGATGAGTTCAGGTGAAATCAGAGAATATCAGAAGAATGTCTATTTGTGTGTTATTGACTATGCAAAGGAATTGGACTATGTGGGCCATAAAAAACTATGGTAAACATTGAGAAGAACAGAAATCACAGAACACTTATTTATGCTCACATGAAACCTACACCTCCACCAAGATCCTTTTGTCTAAACATAGCAAGAGAACATTGCATGGTTTGGAATCAGGAAATACGTACATCAATGCTGTATCCTTTCTCCATATCTATTCAGTTTGTATGCTGAGCAAATCATTCGAGAAGCTGGACTCCATGAAGAACAATGTGGCATCAAGATTGAACAAAGGCTTATTTACAACCTGTGTTATGTAGAAGACACAACTTTGTTGAAAGTGAGGAGGACTTAAAGCGCTTGTTGCAGATCAGACTACAGTCTTCAATATGGATTATATCTTAACATTAAGAAGACAAAAATCTTTACCACTGGATCTATAGACATCATGATGTTGCTGTTGTTGTTAAATGCCGTTGAGTTGTAGACAACTCATAGCAACCCTATGAATGAAAGACCTGAACATTTTTATAACTTTGATCATTTCTCCACGTTCATAGAGTTTTAAGAGGCAAGTTATTTCAGAAGTGGATGCCACTCCAGCTTCAAGTTTGTTTTAATCGGGCCACCAAACACTGTCCACCATGGGTAGCCATTATTGCATTTGACACATCAGTGTCACAGTATTTAAAATCACCACCTTTGGCTTGGTAGCTTAATTTCCTATGCACCAGGCCTAAGAGCTGTCTCTATGTAACATCATATTGTTGTTGTTGTTGTTATGTGCCATTGAGTCGCTTGCGACTCATAGCGACCCCATGTACAAAAGCCCTAAATCCTGCTCTATCCTGTGACAACCTCACCATCTCCAACACACCTACTCTCACCACCGCAGTCACTGAATCGATGCATCTTATTGAGGATCTTCCTCTCCTGCACTGACCCTCCACTCTCCCAAACATGATATCCTTCTTTAAGAATTGGTCCCTCCTTGAAACATGCCCAAAGTATGTCAGACGAAAGAAAATATTGAAATTGTCAACGATTTCATTTTACTGGGATCCACAATCAACATCTTTAGTACCAGTAGTTAGGAGCTCAGGAAGCATATTCCACTGGGAAAGTCTGCTGTTCGAAACTTTTCCAAATTACTGAGAAGCAATGATGTCAGTTTGAAGACTAAGATGTGCATGAATCAGGCCATGGTCTTTTCAATCATTTTCTGTATCGTTGAGAGATGGACAAGGATAAGGATGACAGAAGAATCAATACCTCTGAGTTGTGATATACCGCCAATCCCATGGACTGTCAAAAGAACAAATACGTCTTGCAGAAAAAGGCCACCAAGTTGCTCCCTGGAGGCAAGGATGGAAGCAAGCTTCATCTCACTTACTTCGGTCATGTTGTTAGTATTCCTTGGAAAGGGAAATAATAATATTATAAATATAAATATAAAATTATTATTATTAATATTATTGTGCTGGTTCAAGGAAAGAGAAGAAGACCCTCAACCAAATGGCTTGACATAGTGACTACAGCAATGGGCTGTGCAAAATGATGAAAATGGTACAGGACAGGTGAGAGTCCAGATCTGTTCTTAATAGCGTTGCTATGAGTCTCGAGGGCTCCTAACAAGAAGTCTGGATTTTAATTCTCTTAAGAAAGACAATCCCTTTAATAAAAGAAACAAACACAAACTCCCTACTTTGCTACCACTCTAAAACCCTGCTAGAGAAGAAAAAGGTACCCTCTCCCTTGTGCCCAAGGTGCAGGGACTGACATTACTACCTCGTCCCACCCCCACAACCCCGCCCCGCGGTCCGAGCTCTCAACTGGCTAGAGAGCATCCTTCCAGCCAATCATGATAAACAGCCCCCCCCCCCTCCCGCGCGTCTTTCAAAGGCTTTCTAGGAACCAATGAGCAGTTAAAAGACCAAGCCAAGCCTCGGAGGCGGAGTAGAAAATAGAGGGAGGGTATGATTGGTTCCTACAAGACGTTGCGCCCCACCTCACAGAAGAGTTTACCAATGAGCTGAGGGCAGGGCGGGTTCGGCTCGACTCTGGACAGCTAGTGAGACGCTGGTAGAGCAGAGGAGGCGGCGGCCGGGTCAGGGATCGATGTGACCAGTGATGAAGCCGGTGAGTCGAGCGAGGCCGGGGCTTAGAGATGCGAAGCCACACGAATAGGAGAGGGCCAGAGGCCAGTATTTGGGCCAGGTGGCAGCACAACACCTGGTTGAGGCGTCACTCAGAAAGTAACTGTGCCGTGGGTCGGGGAGGTGGCTCCCCGAGAATCTCGATGAACTATGTTTCCTTAGGAGAGAAACCCCGCAGATATAGGATGGTGATGGGCAAGGGGAAGATGGACATTTACTGCGTCTTGGTCTTGCGGAGAGAGCTTAAGCTTGTTTTTTCAGAAGAATTTTGAGTTTAGCCAGCCTCAGTGAGCTGAGGTTGCATGATCTGCTCAGCACGAATGAAGCAACCTTCATCCTGGTAGGGAGAACTTGCAATATAACTGCTACACCCTGTCCTCATCTCCCAGGCCTACCCTGTCACTTTACCCATTTGCGTGGGTTTAAGATCACTGATCTCCATTAACTACTACCAGGGTTGACAACCTATTGAAAAGATATTCTTTGGGATTGAGTTGATACAACACTAGATAGATAGACTTTAAGACTTCGTTCATCACCCCGAAGTCTGAACCGACCCATACCTGACCCTCTGGTGGGTTTTCAAAGGCTGAAAATTGCAAGAAAGAAGCTTGCTCTTATTTCTCTGGCGGAGCCTTTAGTAGAGTCGAATAGTGGATTAACAAAACAACTCCCTACAGACTACATCACCAAAGCTCTCCAGATAATCGATCCCGTGCAACTCAAACCCACAGCCTAATGTGGTTCTGTATTGTAATCTTCCAGTAACACACAGGACCATTATAGAACACAGCTTCAGAGCTAGAAAGGACATTAGATGGCTGCACCTGCCAATCCCGGTGTTTCCAGGGAGAAGATGTCAGCTGTCTTTCCCTCCTGGCCTCTGGCAGCCCTGCATTCACCCCTTCCAGGGACAGGAGTAATAAATGACCCCGAGCTTTGGGAAGAATGCAGCACATGTAGTTCAGCCCTTTATTTTTCTTCTACCTATCTGCCTGACTGCAGAGAATGCCTTCTGGTCAACTCCCCGCCCTGCCTGGGGGGTTGTATCACGGCCTGTGATTCAGTGGACCCATCTCCTGATGGAGTTAAAAATGAGTCCCAGGCGACTCGATGGCACATAACAACAACAATTGGCTGTCATTTTAAAGCTACAGCTTCTATTTGGCACTCAGCAATATACATTAACCTCTAAAGCCTCTCCACTGTCTTCTTTATTGGTTTCAACAAGGAATTGAGAGAAAACTGGTTTTGTTGTCATGTGCCATCGAATCGCTTGAGACTCATAGCAACCCTATGCACAACAGCCCTAACCCTGCTCTATCCTGTGCCAATCTTATTGTCTCTGACAAACCTACACCCATCTCCCCAATCACTGAATAGATTCATCTCACCAAAAGTCTTCCACTCCTGCACTGTCCCACCACCCTCCCAAGCATGATGTCCCTCTCCAAGGATGGGTCCCTCCTGCAACATGCTCAAAGTATATCAGACGAAGCTTCAGAATCCTTGACCCCAAGGAGCAGCTTGGTTTTACCTTCTCTTTAATCTGTTTGATCTCTTAACAGCCCATGGTATACTCACTACACCACAGCTCAAAGACATCAATGCTTCTATCACCTCTAGTCATTGTCCAGCTCTCTGATGCATAGCAAGTGATGCACCTTAATTTCCAGACTGACATAATTGTTCTGACTTTCCCAATGAAGTTTGTCTTTTTATTTCCTGGCTGCTGGTGCCAAGAGTGTTGATTGTGGAGCCAAGTAAACTGAAGCTGTTTACAATCTCAATCTCTTCACCGTCCATCACAAAGCTGAAATCAGCCCAGTGGTGAGAATCTTTGTTTTGTTGATATTGAGCTTCAATCCATATTTAAGTCTGCAGCCCTTGACCTTCTGCAGCAAGTGCTTTAGTTCCTCCTCCATTTCAGCAAGCAGGGCTGTGTCATCTGCATAATGAAGATTGTTGATGAGTCTTCCTCCAATCCTGATGACAAATTTCTCCTCATAGAACCCAGCCTCCTGGATAAATTCAAGAGACACTTGCCATAGCATAAAAAACTGGCAGCAGCTTGACACACTTGGAATCACAGAAGCCCAGAAAGCTTGAGATATAAACTATCATATCAAGGGCTGGAGAGCGGGAGATAGGTGTTGAAGAGAGTAGGTGGGAGTAAAAGGGAATACTGGTGGAACAGGGAAATGGGTGGGTCAAGACACATGTGTCAAGGGCAAGGGCCACTGAATCGATCAGTTATTTCTACAATTGGGGAAATATCTTTCATTTGCTCTTTTCTGTAAAATGCTTGTCAGATACCCCTTTCTCAAAAAGTTGCAAACAGAAATACCATTTGACCCAGCAATTCCACTACTGGGAATACACCCTTAAGAAACCATAACTGCCATCCAGGCAGATATATGCACACCCACATATACTTTGTTCACAATAGCAAGAAGCTGGAAACAACCTAAGTGCCCATCAACAAACGAATGGATAGAGAAGCTGTGGTATATTCACACAATGGAATACTATGCTGCATTGAAAAACAAGGAACTCATGAAATATATTATTCAAAATGGGTGGCCTTGGAGGACATTATGCTGAGTGAAATATCTCAGTCACAAAAGGACAAATAATGCATAGTGCCACTGTTGTAGAATGGGACTGACATCAGGGTTGGGTTGAGACTGAGAAAGATGGTATAAATTATGTATACTGCATTGAAACAGATGAGGGAGAGAACTGTTTAAAAGTGATATTTGCTTGGCTCCACAGTCAACACTCGGCACCAGTAGCCAGGAAATTAGAAGATGTATTGCCATGGGAAAGTCTGCTGTTAGGGACCTCTCCAAAGTACTGAAAAGCAATGGTGTCTCTTTGGAGATTAAGGTGCGTCTGATATAGGCCACGATCTTTGCTATCACTTGTTATGCATCAGAGAGTTGGACAACATCTAAGGAGGATAGAAGGAGAATTGATGCCTTTGAGATGTGGTGCTGGAGAAGAGTATTGAGGGTACCATGGACTGCTAGAAAAACAAACAGATTCATCCTGGAAAGGGTCAAACCAGGCTGCTCCTTGGAGGCAAGGATTTTAAGGCTCCGTCTAACATACTTTGGACATGCTGCAAGGAGCCACAGGTCCTTGGAGAGGGACATCACGCTTGGGAGGATGGAGGGACAGCTCAGAAGGGGAAGTCCCTCTATGAGGTGGATTGATTCAGTGACTGGGGTAATTGGGATGGGTGTTTCAGAGACAGTGCGATTGGCACAGGACACAGCAGAGTTTAGGGCTGTTGTACATAGGGTCGCTATGAGTTGCAAGCGACTCGACGGCACATAACAACAACAACTATAGTCATGACAAGAGTCCAGTATGAAGGCTGCATAGTGGAGTATAATGGGGGGGGGGGAATTGTACACCAGTAAAAGAATAATTTTTCTTTTACTTTTCAAAAAGAAGAGCGATCTGGGGGAGAGGGGTGGGCAGGGAGAAAAATGAAGCAATGAATGAATGAAAATCCAAAGTCTCTGTAAACGTTCATTAAAATTAATAATTAAAAAAATGCTTGTCAGATACTGTTCTAAATCTGAGCATTCAGATTAAGACAGACTAGGAAGAAGGATTGGCCATCCACTTCCAAAATGGCAGGCCTTTGAAAACCTTATGTACAATAGACCACACTTAGACTAGCAGAGAGGGCAACTGAGTAGGAGCCCTCCAGGATGGAAACAGAGGAGGAGGAACACTAAGCAGACACTAGTAATTGGCACATGGAACATGAGAACCATGAATGTAGAAAAATTAGATATTTTTAAGGAAGAAATGGAAGGCATAAATATTGACATATTAGGTATTGACGAGATGAGATGGACTGGCATGGGGCATTTTGTGTCAGAGGATCATATGATCTACTATGCTGGAGGTGAAAAGGTGAGGAAAAATGAGGTTGCTTTCATAGTTTAAAAAGTCATTAGATCTGTCTTAACATACAATATTGTGACAGGATAATATCCATAAGCATACAAGAAGTCCAGTGAATACCACTATCATTCAGATATATACACCAACAACCAGAGCCAAAGAAGAGGAAATAGAAGAGTTCTACCAACTTTTGCAGTCAGAGATCAACTGACCATGCAATCAAGATGCATTAATAATAATGGGTGACTGGAATGCAAAAGTTGGGAAGAGAAAAAAAGGATTAGTAGTTGGAAAACATGGGCTTCATGACAGAAATTAAGCTGGATATAGAAAGATAGAATTTTGCACAATCGATTTATTCATTGCAAATGTTTTATAAGAAACATAAATACAAGTTATACATATGGCTTTCACCTGATAATATGCATGGGAATCAGATCCATTACATCTGTGGAAAGAATTGCTGGAGACAAGAAATAGGTACTATTCATTAATTCTTTAAAACCACATCAGGGGAGTTCTGGTGGCCGAAGTGGGTGAGCAGTTGTGCTGCCAACCCGAAGGCTCAAATCTACCAGGTGCTCCGCAGGAGAAAGATGGGCAACCTTCTTGCAATTTACTGCCTCTAAAATCCACTGGAGAGTCGCTATAAGTCAGTTCCGACTCAGTGGCACGTGACAATTACACTGCCTCATGATCGAATTCCAATTCCTTAGGTGAAGCATAAAGGGTTTCATTTCAATCTCTCTAGGCCAGTATTCCCTCAACCATGGTGTATGTAAGTTGTGTTATGAAGGATCTAAAAAACCTCTCACTGACATCAAGTCACAATCAACTTATAACTAAACTCCACTTGGTTTTCTGAGGCTGTAAATCGCACCCTAGCGAGATCGCTCATCTTTTGGGGAGCCCAGATAGACTCATACTGCCTTTGGACTAGTAGCTCAACTGTCTACAGACTACACCACCAGAGTGTAACTTCTCCAGCTTCATCTCCTCTATCTTTGCTGTGGTATCAGAGCTCCTGAATGCACTCTCATACTTCCACTGTTTCTTTAATTGCTCAGTTGCCTACAAACCTCCTATCCATTTACCAAACATCTAGGTAAAACATCTCTTTTAATACTTATACTGTCTTTAAACTAGTACACATCTGGTCCCTCCAACTATATTGAAGGCGGATTATTTTATGGATCTTTTTCTCCAGAGCTTGGCTCAAGAAAGCTTTGTGAACAACTGCATAAATCTCCTCAGTTGATAGTTAGGGGAAACCGATCCAGAATAAACTTAGAATTAACTTGTCCAAGAGCCAGGACCAGAAACCAGGTCTCTTGGTTGCCAGTGCAACCCTCTTTCTACTGGCCAGAACTACAGTTATTAATAACATGTTAAGTCATTTATTATTGTTACTGCTTACCTGACACCTCAAATTGATCACTAAATAGCAACTGCAGTGTGTGTTTAAGGACTAACTATAGTTATAGGTAAATATTATTTATAATTATTTAACATAAGTGATTTTTTTTCAAGCCTATTTCATTGCAAACAAGTGAGTTTGACTCCTCAGATGAAGAGCCTATTGAAGATGAGCAGCCTCCAATTCAGATATCATGGTAAGTTAACATTCCTGATCAATGACATTTAAAAGAAATGTGTGCTTCATAATCTTTGTATAGTATGATGACATACTGAAAATACTTAGTGGTTCTCTTGTGCTGATTATATAATTTTTGGCCTTTAAAGGGTTTTCTAACACCATGGTTCATATACTTTGTACAGTACAAGTTTTACTTGTTTATTTTGGTTTTTTTGTTTGTTTGTTTTGTTTTGGGGCCTTCTTTATACACTAGGAAAACCCTAGTAGGAGAAAGTAAATAAATGGTAATGATAAGATTAGAGTGATCTTCTATTTAGTACCCAAATCTGCTAATTCTTTTACCACAGAATAATAATGTAAGGATGAGAAAATCACTCATTTAAGTCAAAATATAAAAAATCTTAGAACTACTTATCCTAACTAATGCATCTATAAACAGACTTAAAAAACACACTACACGGAAATAACAAGATTTCTATGTAAAATCTACTTCCAAAGTTTGGCATGTGACTTATGATTACACCATGTTTGCTACAACCAGCAATCAAATGCTTTCTCATCCCTGTAAATATAACCATCTCCCTTCTTAGGAAAGCGTATATATTCTGCACACATCAGTTACCATGAGTCTTAATCGACTTGACAATACATAACTATATATTATTGCTTTCTAGATACTATAAAAGTTTCATTGAAGACATACTAATTGGCAAGTGCCTATGTTGGTTGGGTTCTGAAATTCTGGTTCTAACTTTTCTAAAACAGAACCAAACTCAGTAATTTTCCCCCCTCTCATTTTCAGGTTACCCTTGTCTCAAGTGAACTGGTCTCAATTTCTTGGTTTATGTGCTCTTCCAGGTAGGTCACACTACAGTTGACCTCTCACTAATAATATTTAAAACAATATTTGTTGTCAGCTAACACAATATTTTATGTACTGAACGATAAGAGAATTTCACAGACTATCAGCCCTGGGGGAAGCACTTTTGGAAGCTATCATGGCAAAGTGTCCATAAGACATATAGCTTTAAACTCTTTAAACTTCCAAATCTGCATTCATAACTCTGCCTTTTTTCATTTATCTGTGCTAAGATATAAAAACTGGAGTATGATATAGCTAAAGGATAGAACCAAGTACTTGCTACAGAAAAGATACCAAAAAGAACCCTTGGATCAGTTGGAACCTATGAATCCCTTAATTAAATTCCCATTAAAGTAAAATTCACACTCAAAATGAAATTGATACATATGATCATGTAAAATATCTTTGCAAAGTAGCCATGTTGTTGTTGTTGTTAGGTGCAGCAGGGTCAAAAAGGACTCATGGTAAACCTGTTCTATTAAAACTTGCCCTACCCATGTCATCCTTATAATTTCTGGCATGATCAAGTCCACGGGTATAGTCACTGGGTCAGCCTCTCTCATTGTAAGCCACTTTCTCTTTTGCTTATCCTTAACTTCCCCCAGCGTATCTTTATCAGACCTAACTTTTCCAGCATAATAGTTATATATGCATCTAAATATGTTTATTAAATGTCACCAAAAACTGACTTTCTAACTTTCCTTATTATTATTATAGGTTGTAAATTTAAAGATGTTAGAAGAAATATACAAAAAGATACAGGTATGTGTAACATGAGAAAACCATATTTTTTAGTAACGCTGAAAATCTGTCAAAACAAATGAATAACTTACTCTTAACAACTAAATGTTAACTATTTTGTGAAAAACTGCATAGTCTAATACATAAGGAAGTATACATACATGAAAAGTAGAATCATTTACTTAAATATGGTATTACTTATTCTTGATTAGCATAGCTTTATTATACATATATACGGCACATGAGATCAACATATGTTTGAGGGGGAAGAAAATATGTAAATAAGAAAAATATGTAAATAAGAAACTGACATGTTGTGCTGGCCAAATATCTGAGCATACGTTACTTCTGACTGCAGTAGTAAAAATTAAGCCTAAAGAAGAACCTAGAGGTGATAGTGAAATTGTCCATCCCTCTCACAAGGTGGACAAGATGCAGAGTACTGATCTTTGCTTACCTGAGGATGTCCATGTCACTGGTCTCAAATTTAACACTACAGCTACACTGACCAATGCATGCCAATTTGGAATTTACGTTATTACACAATACTGTACTGACATATTTGGATTTCCAAAATATTTAAGCCAGTTAGCTTGAAATGTCTCAAGTCTAATTGCTGTTGCTGTGATGTGCCATCAAGACAGAACCAACTCATGGTTGACCCTCTAGCAAGTTTTCCAGAGGCTGTAATTCACATGGGAGACTACCCATCCTTCTCCTGCAGAGCAACTGGTGGATTCAAATTGCATACCCTTCCTTGGGTTGGCAGCCCATCTCCTTACCTAGACCACCAAGCCTACAAATATCCTTATAATATACTAAAAAAAAACCACCTCAAAACCACCCACACATTTATACACACATATGCACACACAGAGCTTTATGCTAATTGAGATTTAAAAAAAAATCTTTAAGAGGGAGATTGAAGGCAGCTAATCAAATAGATGACTTTTATAGTATTTGTGACAATTTTTGTTTTAGACAGGTCCTCACAATGACGTGGAATTTCCATTTAGAGAAAACTTCTAACAGAAAGCAAAATACAGTTTGAGTTATCAGTTCAAAACTCAATCTTGCACATTCTGGAAAGCCCTATATTGAAAACAGATCAACATTATTTTAGCTTATCAGTAAGCACTTCAAATTTGTAGGTTATCATTTGTTATTTACTCAGTTTAACTTAACCCCATATTCGCCCTCATGGCCATATTTAAATTTTTAATGCTTTGTGTGTATCTTGGTCTATTGACAGAAGAACTAAAGAGCTCTGGTATACAAGACATATTTGTTTTCTGCACTCGAGGGGAGCTGTCAAAATATAGAGTCCCAAATCTTTTGGACCTCTACCAGCTGAAGGGAATGATCACTCATCATCATCCTATCCCAGATGGCGGGACTCCTGACATAGCCAGCTGCTGTGAAATAATGGAGGAGCTTGCAGTCTGCCTTAAAAATAACCGAAAAACCTTAATACAGTACGTTCTTTTCTTCAAATGGTGCATGAATAGTGTCACAGTCAAAATCTGTCTTCTCAAATTATGGTTTGCTTATTTCTTACTGTCATAGTTTATTGGAAGGATTAAAATGAGATAATGCATTAAAAACACTAGCACAATGGTACAAAGTAAACATTCAAATATTTGCTATTGTTTTTAAAAATGCAGGGCAATAAATGAGTAAATGTGCAAAATTATAAAGTAGGGGTATAGGCTTTTGTTTTCTCTTCTTCTCTTTTCCTTTCGTCTTGTTACAATTTTGTTCCCCATAAAAGGATGGTATCATTCTTGTTATTACATATAGTAACACTTCACTTGTCAGTTTATGAACAGACAAAGGCAAGTCTTTTTAACTCTTGCTATGAAATTAAAATGCACTAACTTCCAAATTTATATTTTCCTTTCAGCTGTTATGGAGGACTCGGGAGATCTTGTCTTGGTAAGAAATGTATTTTCATTTTTGTTTTGAGCTTCAAAGTAGGCAAACTCCTGTTTGAGCCATATGCTCACTTTGCAAAACACAAGTCTACTTAAATCTCAGAGGATTATTTAAAGTCCTAAACCTATGCCACTTACAAAGCTTGGGTAGGAATAGGAGAGAGCTAGTATTATTTTGCAGATTCTACAAAACATAATTTATCACCTGTATTCTTGTTTTGTTTTCTGATGTTCTCCCTATGCAATTGTTATTATGCTGACAGCAACATCTATCTACCCATGGGTAACTAAAGTATGAAAACCAAAGTTGAGTCTTGTATGTATGTTAAATTTTAATGTTAAAAGACAATTAATGAGATGCCATTTTGTGCTTCAATAGACATTAATAAACATGAGAAAATATATCACAGAATGGGAAAAAATTTACAAATCACGTATCTAATAAAGGATTTGTACCTAAAGTAGAATTTTCCCCCCCTTTGGAAATGAATATTTATTATACTCTTTACTCAATAGCTCAAAATTTAACCTAAAACTATCTCATTATTTCAGTCCCAATTGTCCTAATACAATTATCATAGCCAAAGATATCAATTTATTTTCCCAACATCCTTAACAATATTTTATATTCCTTCTATAGTAAACATTATTCCTTTTATAGTAAACATAGATGAATTTATAACTGTTCCCATCATTCTAAAGTAGAATGCCTACAGCTCAAATTCCTACAGCTCAATAAGAAAATGGCCAAAAGCCCAAGTTTTAAACTGCAATCGATGGACTAGTCATTTCTCCAAGTAAGATATGTAAATGCCCAAACAAGCACATGAGAAGATGTCTAACATCATTAATCATCAGGGAAATACAATGCAAAACTGCAAAACAAAACTGTAATGAGATACCACTCCACACCTAGGACAGCTGGAATCAAAACGTCAGCATCACAGGTGCCATCAAGGATGCAAAGAAATTGGGGAAACTGGGCCTCTCGCACACTACTAGTGGGAATGGGAAATGGTGCAGCCATTTTCAAAAACAATCTGGCAGTTCCTCAAAAAAAGTTTATCTTAGTTACTAAATGATTCAACAGGTCTACTCCAAGGCACATAACCCAAAGAGAAATGAAAAGACATCCACACAAAAACTTGTATATCAATGCCTACAGCAGTTTTGTTCATATAGCCAAAAGATGGGGAAAACTCAGGGTCCACCAACTAAGAAGATAAGCAAAATATGGTATATCCACACCATGGAGTGTTGTTTATGTACCCTCAAGTCAGGAATGACCCATAGCTGACCTTCCAGCAGGATTTCAGAGTCAGCAATTCACAAGGGAGGTTGCTGCCCATGTTTCTTCTTCAGAGCAGCCGGTGCATTTGAATCGAGTGCCTTTGGGTTCGCAGCACAACTCTTTAGCATTTAGCCACCAGAGCAACTTATCAATTAAGAAGAAGATAAAATATGTCCACACAATGGAGTATTACTTGGAAATTTAAAGGAATGAAGTACTGCTACATGGTACAACATGGATGAAATTCCAAACATGCTACATAAAAGAAACTAGTCACAGAGGACCACATATTGTATGATTCCATTTATATAAAATGCACAGAATAAGCAAAGCTGTACAGCCAGAAAGATTAACACTTGCTTATGGCTGAGAGGATCAAGGGTCAGGTGATAGTTATGTGATACTGAGTTTCTTTTTGAGGTGATGAAAATGATGGTTGCACTCATCTGTGAATCTACTAAAAGCCACCAAATTATATACATTAGATGAATTAATTATAGACCAATAAAACTTTAAAAAATGAAATTAATGTGAAGCTTTAATTCAACCAGTTATTTTCATTCTTCCTTTCAAGCACACATACTAAGAAGCCTCAGACTTTAGCTGATTTTGAACAACTGCACCAAACTAGTCTTTTGCACCAACCGAAAGCTAATTAAATATCAAGTATTTTAACCTATCAGTATTACTTAGTATTCTTTTTCTGCCATGTTCCTAGTAGCCGCTTGTCTCCTCTTGTACCTGTCTGACACAGTGTCACCACAGCAAGCCATAGACAGTCTGAGGGAACTCAGAGGATCAGGGGCAATACAGACCATAAAGGTAGAGTGTGGCTGTCCTGCTTGGGTTGGGCTGAGGGTAGTTTCAAATGGACTGTAATATATAAACAAAAAGGCAATAAAATGAGAAATCTAAAAGACCATATACTTCAAATACTACTCACTGAGTTTCTAAAATTTATACTTAAATGTAACACTAATGTCTGCAAAAAGCTCACAATATTTCAAACAAAATAATGGTGGGGGGGACCCATTAGACTTATTGATTCTTCCTGGTTCTTTAAATGCTGAATTTTTGCCCCATTCAGTTCTAGGACTGGATCATCTGCTTATAAATGAGGTGGTTACTTATAACTTGGTAAATTTTTAGCCCAAAATATTTAATGAAGATCTTGTTATCTAATGAAAAATACTTCTAGATGAATGGCTATTACCCAATGAAAAGCAATGCTCATTGTTCGTTGTGGACAACCAAAGTAACATATTCTACACTTACTCTCCCTTTAACACCATGAAAGTATTAAAAGTTGTAATGACCCAAAGATGATACACCGACTTCTTAGCAACATGGCTGGGTTCCAAAGATTGGGTCATGATGTAAAGTCAGTGTTATATAAGGGAAGGGGGGTGCCCTATCTTTAGTAAACAGTGGCCCCTTGCCCCTCAGCACCACCTGTCCTGCTCTCTCATCTCAGGAAGTAGTGCAGTGGAGCCCTCCTCCCCACCATGCATGCCTTTATTATCACCAAAGATGGTAGTGGTCATGTTGCCCAGTGCCTGCCCCAGGAGGGAACCTCACTTATCCTGTCTACCCCTGCCCCACAGAGCCCCTTCATCATTCCTCCCACCTAATCCCACGGACCTCCCTAGCACCTTTGGGCCCGTCTGATCACTCCATGATCATCCAACATTACTCTCTGAGAAGGTGCAAAAAAGAACAAGAGAAGTGTCCTATAGTCTAGATAGCCTCAGTCCCTCCCATGGCCTGGTTCCAGCTAGGGCCTCCAGAACATCATTCAGGATGGCCCAAGGACCTAGCCCTGCCCATAGCCACATATGAGGCCAAGATCATTGGAAGTGTTGCCTGAGAATTGTTTTCAACATTATTTTAAATACAAAATGTCAAATGAAACCATTAATAAGTGATGTTAGGTGCCTTCATGTTGGAACCAACTCATAGCTGACCTAAAGTGGGTTTTCAGCTGTAGCCCACACAGGAAATTGTCCCCTTCCCTTGGAGCCGATGGTAGATTCAAACTGCCTGTCTTTGGGTTGTCAGTGCAATGCCTTACCACTAAGCCACCATTGTTCCCTTGATAAGGGATAGCAGGTCTGATATATTAATCATGTTACTGGAAAAGTTCTGCAAATGTCAATTAGAGATTTGTAAAGCAAATGTCTTTCTTTCCAAAGCACCAACTCTGCTTTAGGGCTGTACCCTCAAACAGGATGCACAAAATCCCCAGTTTTTGGGCAGCACCTAGAATCCAGCTTCCTAGGGTTAGCAGGATAACAAGTACAGTGTACAATGAATTACTGTAGTAATTGATAAACTCACCCAAGCAGCTTCCTTCTTGGGGTCATTCACAAAATAATCCGTACTATGCCCACTTCCTAATAGTACCTCTCTGTCTCTGAAAAGGTTCTGAAAACCACAAACTCCCCTTTTCATTTGACACCATCAAATGATTCTTCAAATCCAAGTTCAAATCCCTTCTCTTTGAAATACCACAGCTAATGTGTATGTACATCTAGGAAGTATTCCTCAGGCTTGCAGATCATTAAGCCCGTATTAGCACTGGCTGTCAACATAGTACCTTTACGTTCTTCAGCCTTCCGCATGTTTTACGTCTCTGTCAATGGAAGTTAGCAGAATGCAGTTTTACCTACTCAATAATGATATGAAACTAGATTGTTGGCACAAAAAGAATATCCTCTGGGAAGATACTAAAACACCAAACATATTATTTAAAGCTTTCAGTTTGCTTGTCTGTTAGGGCAGTGACAGGCTTTTGTTTGCTTTTACTATTGCCTGTTACGAAAGCTGTCCCAAATGGATTACATCACCACAAAAAAAAACCAGAAAACTAGGGCTCGTAAGAGGGAAAAAAACAGAATTTTTTTTTTATTATACCACTGTTAACTGCTATCAAAAGTGCCCTCGCCTCTCACTTTAGCTCTTGGGGGGAAAAAGATTAGCAACAATAATGCATTCTGTACTATTTTATCTTGTTAGGTCCTGCCAGGAAAAGGAAGATTTTGCTGACTTAACATTTACCTGTGTTTCATGTTGCCTTCTGATTTATTATCGTTATATAGTTTTCACATCATGTACGGAGTTTTAGTAAAACATAAAAAGCTTCTCCATAATGCAAATGCTTTTTCACCCAAAAGGATGTAAAACTGATCTTGCAAATACTGATTTTTGATTCTTGCTCTTTATTGTGACTACTTTGGGAATTCCTTTTCAACAAGATATTTCAACTTTTCTTCACTTTTTTTTCAGCAATATAATTATCTTCACGAGTTCCGGGAAAAACTAGCTGCACATCTGTCTTCAAGAGAATCACTATCAAGATCTGTATCTAGATAAAGAATTTCAAATAGTATAACCATGTCTGAAATCTAATCATTCTCTAATGTGAGAATTATCAACTTGAATGTCAAGTATATTGCAAATACTCCTAAAGCTTTTATTGACAAATTTCATTGTGTGTGTCTCTCATCTCTCAGAAGGGAAGGATACAAAAAAACTGCTGTACAATTGTCATTTTTTAAGACAAGCACTTGGTTCTCTAGTGTAATTTACCTGACAGGAATGCTGACAAGTTTATTAAATGAAGTTCAAATTCCTGTTTCTAAAATTCTTGTTATTACACCTTATTTTACTATTTCTAACTGCTATGTATTCCTCTCCTATCCCTCCACTCTTCCAAGGATGAAGTCCTTCTCCAAGGACTGGCCCTTCCTGGAAACATGTCTAAAGTATGCGAGACAGAGCTTCACAATCATTGCCTTGAAGGAGCAGCTTGATTTTACCCTCTCTAGGACAGACCTGTTTGTTCTCTTAGCAGTCCATGGTGTATGTTCAATACTCTTCTCCAGCACCACAAGTCAAAGGCATCGATTCTTCTTCTATCATTCTTAGTCATTCTCCAGCTGTCTGATGCATAGCTAATAATTGCAAAGACTATGGCCTGATCAGTCACACCTGAGTTTTCAGACTGACAATGACATTGTTGTTCTTCAGCACCCCAGAGAGGTTCCTCCGGATTTTCCCAATGTAATTCATCTTTTGATTTCCTGACTGCTGGCACCAAAAGTACTGATGTAGAATCAAGCAAACTGAAATTGTTAACCACTTCAATTTCTTCTCCATCTATCATGATGCTGCCAATTGGCCCAGTGGTGACAATCTTTTTTCCCCCTGTATGTTCAGCTTTAGTGTATATTGAAGACTGCAGTCCTTGACCCTCTGAAGTAAATTCTTCAGGTCCTCCTCAGTTTTAGCAAGCAAGGTTGTGTCCATTCTTGTCCATCTGCGTAACGCAGCTTGCTGACGAGTCTTCCTTAAATTTTATATTAATTATCACCCAATATAAATACACACCATATCCATGAATATTGAGGAAAATATTGGCATGGGTTAAAAAATCCTTAGATTTTTTAGATAGATGGTTAATCTATCAATTTTTTTAAATCTACACATTTTTCAATTTCCACTGTAAATGCTTGTTAAATCTTACACATTTAAACTAAACTATTCTGATAGTAGATATAAGGCCAAATATCAATTATCCCATAGCAGACTACTACTCAAACATAACTGTTCAGTTATGTTTAATGACATGTAATTCCTGTATTCTAGAGAAAGTAATCTGTTGAATGTATGTTAATATCCCCTAAAACAACAGAGGCAGGGAAACAATCTAGAGTCCTGGTCATACACAAGTCAGCGCATCATTTGAAGCTGAATTAACAAAGACTCAACCATTATCCATAAATTATGCAAAAAAATATTTGAGACCTTTTTTATTAAATATACAAAAGCAAAATCAAGCAAACTCTAAGGTATATATGCAGGATTATTTGAGGGTATTTTCTTTGGACAGTGGTACAGCACCAGTGAGGTTAATGTAGATTTTAACAAACCAGGAACACAGATAGCTAGCTACTTTCTAAGTTTCTTTTATTAGTTTTAAGATCAGCCTAGTCAAAATTGTAAGTTATTTTTCTTCTTCAGGATACATGAACATAACTAAAAAGATACTTAGAGAAAGCACTGTATAGTAAGTTAACGTGCATGTGAGAGATAATCCATTTTTCTCCATGTCCTGACTTCTCTTTATGTTCATGTCCACAATGTGGACTAGGCAAACTAATGTAAGATGAAACCTTAGTAACTTGCAGCTCCCTCATCTAACATGGTTAACATTACTTTCTGAAACCAGCATAAGCAATAAGCACAGTTGTTTATTCATTTAGACATTTATCTTTAAAATGCATCATTTTAGTCAAAGTAAAACTATGTTATCAATAAAGCCAGCTGACATGTCTAGAAATGGAATCATGTTTTTGTGACTGATTCAAGCAAAAGGGTTTAACATGATTTGAAATTAGCATTATAAGTAGTCTCTAAAAAGAAGGAACATGAGTACCTCTCATGGACAAAGATATCAATATTTTGTTATCAATAGTTCTGATTTATAGTTATGCTGTACCGCTGATTAATGAGATGCACATTTATAAAAATGGTACAGATAAATAAGTAAATTAGATATGCAACTAGTTTACAGATTTAAATACAGACCATTATTTGAACTGGCTTGAAACAGATCATGCTGCCTTGATGTAGCCACTCCACGCAGGGTGAAAGAGATGTACAGAAGCCATTATTTACATCACATCAATTATACTGAATGAACGCCATTCATAACATCATTGAAGGAAAAAAGATGTCATCCGTCCCATAGCGCATCTATAAGCTCTTGCCTTTCTATGAAGGCCTCTGCATTATTTCTACACTATGCTGACCTAGAATTCTATTGGAGCAAATACCATTAGCAATCAAGCTGAAAAACTCTCATGCTACAGCAAACTAGAACACCATTAACGGGGTATCTGAAGTTGACTTATAGATGGGGATGTTCACTGTATAAGTGAAAATGCTTCATGAATGCTTTCAAATACCCAACACATGCCAAAAGTCATATAAGTCACTTCCTACCACTCCCTCTTCCCATGAAAATGACTTCAAACGAATTAACAATCTGTTTATAGGCTGGAACAAAGTATCCTCAGCCACAAGAGGGAGCAGAGACATAGAATAAGCATTCCTAAAAATTATCAAATATTCAAATACAGTTTTCAACATCTTTGTCTCTTTAATACTAAAAAGAACATACTACCATCATAATTTGTTGTTGTTGTTGTTAGGGGCCAATGAGTCATGTACAACCCATAGTGACCCTATGAACAGATCTGAAATCTGTCCTATCCTGTGCCATCTTCACACTTCCTGACACATTAGAGCCCACTGCAGTAGTCATCGTGTCAAGCCACTTGGTTGAGGGTCTTCCTCTCCTTTCCCAATCCAGGTGAGTATGGGATGATATCAAGGGTATCATCCATGAAGAAAGCGGCATTGCAAAGACAGAGGAGAAAGAAGAACCTGAAATGGATGTCAGAAAAGGCTCTAAAAATTGTACTAGAGAATCGAGAAGACAAAAGGGAAATATGCTGAAGTAAAACAGCTGAACAGAAGACTTCAAACAGAAGACTTCAAAGGACAGCTTGAAAAGAAAAATCAAAGTGTTACAATGGAATGTGCAAAGAGCTGGAACTGGAGAATAAAAAGGGAGGAACTCACTCTGCATTTCTTAAGAGAACTAAAAAACAAATTTCAACCTTAAATCACAATACTAAAAGATGCTATAGGACCCAGAAAATATCAAAAGATGATGGCGAGAATACACAGAGTTGCTGTAACAAAAAGATCTGACAACGAGAAATTTCAAGAAGCACCCTATAAGCAGGAGCCAATGGTAATGAAGAAGGAAGCTGAAGATGCATTGAAGCATTGGCAAAAAGCTAAGGCCCCAGGAACCGATTGGGTAACAACTGATTTGTTTCAATTAACAGATGCAGCCCTGGATGCACTTACCAGTCTATGCCAGGAAATTTGGAAGACAGTTGTCTGGCTAACGGATTGGAAGAGGCCCATATTTGTTCCCATACCCAAGAAAGGTCATCCAACAGAGGAAACTATCGAACAATATCATTAATATCACATGCAAGCAAAACACTGCTGAGGATTATACAAAAACTAGAAGATTTAAAAAAGTAACAAAACTTTTAAAAAACCCAACCAGAACAGTGCATAAATAGGGAACTTCCAGAAGTTGAAGCAGGATTTAGAAGAGGCTGTGGCACCAAAAATATCACTGCTGATGTCAGATGGATCCTGGCTGAAACATTACCAGAAGAATGTCTATGCTTTATTGACTATGCAAAGGCATTTGACTGTGTGGATCTTAACAAGTTATGGCTAAAATTGAGACGAAAGGGAATCCCAAAGCACTTAATTGTGCTTGTGTGAAACCTATATCTAGACCTCCTATGCAAACACTACATGGTTTAAAATTAAAAGGAGAATCCATCATAATCTAATATTATTCAATAGAATAAGTGATGAAAATTGTTACAATTTTCATTTCAGGATAACCTATAGTTCTCCCAGCAACAAAGAACTGCTGCCATGCAGAAGAAATAGGCATAAATAGGGAAAATGGTTTCTGAGGGTTAGAATTTAACATGAAAAAGAGAAAACTACTTATTTAATGGGCTGTGGCCATACAGTGAAGGAGTCTGATAGATGCTGAAGGGATTAAAACCAGCTACATATGCTTCAAACAAGTCAATAACTCATTGCCCTCTATTCGGAACCAGAACCGACTCATAGCTGACCCTTCAGCAGGTTTCCAGAGGATTTAAATAACAAAGGAGGAAACTGCCCATCTTTCTGAGAATTAAGTCCTTTGGGTCAGCTGCACACTCAACAGACTACCATCAGCAGAACTTCCTACATACACTACAGGCTAAGTAATTAAATTCTGAACAAAGGAAAAAAGACAGTGAAATATTGTCAATATAAGTATTTTCCTTCTGCTTTCTCCTGGTGATCTAACTGAATAAAACACTGGAAAAAACAGAAATGGTTAGATATTACAAAAGCACTTAAGTATTTAATTGCCTTATAGGTCTAGGAACTTTCAAACTACCACTAAGATAGGTAAAACTTCATTGTCAAACATCTTTAAAGAACCAAATGAAGATTGCATATTCTACTTTGAAGCCTGCAAAGAGTGGCTTTCAAATTATGGCTAGTAAACTTTGGATTAATTAGGAAATATTATAGAATAATTTAAACAATGTTAAAGTTTATAAAGGGAACTAATGTTTATTAAGAGATAACACGTATTCTTGAAAATAATTTGATAGGAATATTAGAGTGGCAGCCCCAGAAATTTATGAGAATTATAGAAGACTTGGTCGGCTCTATCAAGATCAAAAGTTCTCATGTACGAGGAAAACGAGGAGCAGACAGATTAGAAATTGAATGCCTA